ACTGCATCATCTGTGTGTAACCATTGTAAGACATTACACCACTAATTTGCATCTCAAATGCTTTAAGAAAAACTTGCTAGAACTTCCACTGAGGGCAGCCATGAAAGACTAACAGCAGCCCCTTTAGCCCTAAAAATAACAACAAGCAAAACCAAACACCAAACCGGACTACAATTTATGAATCTACAGCTAAAATTAAAATGAGAGAGCTATAACATCTTCTGGATACAGAAAAATAAGGTGTGCCATTACCTGTTTGGGTCCAGAATACAATGACTCAGATCTCAAACCTTATCCTTCTTAAAACTTTCACTGTCTGACAGTAAAAGGGAACTCTCTTGACTTCTCTGTAGCTCTTCCTTATTACTGTTTCCTCTTACTCTTCTGGCTTATTTTTGTCATTTGTTGCTCATCTGATAACAGGGGCTTTTCTAATACATTTATTGTTGTAAAAATGACAGTAAATATTATCCTGCATTGATTAAATTCGGCAGTTAATGCATCCTTTATGCTGGTTCTCAGTCATCCAGGTCATATTCATTCCAAAAAGGAAGCTTTTTTTTCAATTCAAAATGTCAGGAATAGTGTTGAGTTTGAGGTTTTATGCAGTAGCCCAACAAAGCCTTGTTTTGTTTTGAAAACTTGCAAATAAGAACAGACGAAGGGGTCCACCCATTTGGAATGCGGGTTGCTTGGCTTCTTTTGTTAGACTGCAATACCCCATGCCCATCTAAAGGTTTGGTTATACACCACGCAGCAGTGTGTCGCAGTGAGTTTGACGGAGACATTTTTGATTTATGTCCAAGAGAATCAGGAACTACCTGTGGGTCTAGATATCGCTGAGGTGGTGAGGAAGTGGGGGCAAGTTTGTCCGACAACGGAGGGACATGAGGTGGAAAAAGGTTCCCAGGGTTCTCACACAACTCGCTGTTCTAGCTGGTCAAACTTCAGTTGAAGTTTGAGTTGTTTTCCACAATTGCGGTCATACAAACAAAACAAGCTGGCCTTCTGTCTGCGGCCTTTTTCATGGTGTGTCTGCGGAGGGGGCGGGGACGTCTTTTTGTTCAATGCAACAGCTACGCAGACAACCTAGTTTCAAAGTTAGCCTTAAGTCTGAAAGGTCGGTGGTTAAATCGGATTGTTGGCCTCGCTGAATAGATGAGGTCCTCCACTCTCCTTTACAGGGGTGGGGCTGCAATGATGTGGATGATGTGGATTTGTGGAACTACAAACATTTTGGTATTTGCATTATGTTTGCGTATGTACAGAAATTGAAGATTTCCTACAATTGTGTGTACTACTCCCTTCAGAGGACAGCACAAACAGGTTCTAACGAGAGTAGAAAAAGAAGTGGGAGGCCGCGTTGCACAACTGAGCAAGAAGATCAGTACATTAGAGTCTCTAGTTTGAGAAACAGACGCCTCACAGGTCCCCAACTGGCATCTTCATTAAATAGTACCTGCAGTAGCCTGTTTGAGCTGTCCTCTGAAGGGAGTAGTACACACCGTTGTAGGAAATCTTCATTTTCTTAGCAATTTCTCGCATGGAATAGCCTTCATTTCTAAGAACAACAATTTACTGTTGAGTTTCAGATGAAAGTTCTCTTTTTCCGGCCATTTTGAGCGTTTAATTGACCCCACAAATGTGATTCTCCAGAAACTCAATCTGCTCAAAGGAAGGTCAGTTTTGTAGCTTCTGTAACGAGCTAAACTGTTTTCAGATGTGTGAACAT